GGGGGGGAGTATAGGAAGGGAAACAAAGAGGAGGCAACAATGCTTGATAAGAAATGTACTCGTTATCTTGCCCATGTAATTGTAACTCCTCTGTACAGTATTCTCACAATAAAAAAAATAAAAAATAAAATAAAAACCAAGCGAACATGTCAACCCATCCACTTTCATGGCTGGTTTCAGAGATCTGAGTTCTCCAATCTTTTACTTTTTTCCTTTTGAGTATGTGGATACTCATACCAATAAGGGTCTAATAGTAAATAGTGTTGTACTCAACACTAGAAAGAAAGAAAAAACAGCACATAAAATGAGAGCATATAAAAGAGAAGAATATTTGATTTGATGTTAAAAACAGGACAGGGCGAGGCATCGGTGGCTCATGCCTGTAATCCCAGCTACTCAGCAGGCTGAGATCTGGGGATCATGGTTTGAAGCCAGCCCAGGCAGAAATATTCCTGTGAGATTCTTACTTATAATTAACCACGCAAAGTGGTAAAATGCTAGCCTTGAGCAAAAACTGCTCAGGGGCAGTGCCCAGGCCCTGAGTTCAAGCCCCCATGACCAACAAAAGGAAAAAAAAAGTACAGGAAGAAAAAAGAACAAAGGAAAAATAAAAGCAGAGTTAGCAAATGACCTCTGTTTTCTGTAGGGAAAACTTGCAATCCATCATGGTAGCTTGACTATTGACATAGCCAGCACAACATTCTTTATAGCTATTCTTCTTAGCCTAAGGTAAGCTATTAAATATCAGCCTGTGTAACCAAACCACAATATTGATATTTGTGGATCCTCTGCTACTTCCTCAGTCCCTCTCTTGGTGTTTCTCTTTCCCTGGTGTTATAGCATGGCATCTTTCTCTCCACAAAGAGGGCAAATGTTAGCTAATGAAAGTTAATAGCAGTTGATTCCCTGTGAGTCTCTGGTTTAATTCTAAAGCTAATGGCCCCATTTCCCAGAAGCCTGATTTACACAAATGGCTGAGGTTCTTAGAGCTGTGACAACCACCCCACCCTCACGCTTCCTGGAAGTAGCAATAACTTATCTCTTGTCCTAACTGGCAATTCTGAATTTTTGACAGATAGTTTTAGAGAAGGTAAAAATGTTTTTCTCTACTGGACAGAGGGAAGGATCTATAACATTGAACCGATTACCTGTAAGTTTTGAAGACAACCAGTAGGATTTTCAGATTAAATTTTAAGCTGCCAAACAGCATGGAAATATGAATGTCATTTTTATTGCTTGATATTTTCCCCTTGCTGTGTCCTTTTGTTTATCTTAATATCTGTAGGTTTAGTTCAGCAGCAAAGCATAATGAAAAGATTATAAATCAATCCTAGAGAAGCTTGATTTATTTTTGGACTGTTGTCCATTAGCTATTTTATTCTACTATAACTACTGGTTTGTTTTTTTTTCTTAAAGATGGTTTAATTGTAATTCTGCCACTTTTAAATATAACCCAAGTGTTGAAAACTGAAATTAAGAGGCTAACTCCAAGAAAAATCTGAACCATGAATGAACTACAAGTGTACTGTTGAACTCAAGGCCTATGCTCTCTTCCTTAGCTTTTTCACTCAAAGCTAGTGGTTACTTGAGCTATGCTTTCTCTTCTCACTTTCTGATGGTTAATGGGACATAAGAGTCCCATGGATGTTTCTGCCCAGGATGACTTTGAATTAAGATCCTCAGATCTCAGGCTTCTGAGTTGCTAAGATTCAGGCATGAGGCATCAGTACTCAGCAGGTTGTCCCATGTTTTACTTTTAGTGATTGCATTCTAGAGTCATTGGTGATGTTATTTAAAAGATGTGCTAGGCATGAGGCTCTTTTGTCCTATGAATGTGACTTAGTATTATTAAACTTGTCTATGTATCTGCATTCCTGGTAAAGTTGTGGTGAGTTTGGTGTAAGCTGAACTGCAGGGTGAGTACCAGGTCCGTGGGGTGAAAGGTCGACTAGTCTACTCATAGAGCTTTTTTATTTTTATTTTTTCAGAAGTAATTTCTAAGTAGTAATCCTTAAGATGATTCATAAATCGTAGGTATTTATTTTCTTGGTAAATGAAAAAACAGCTTATCTGGGCACAGTGGTTCAGTCCTGTAATTCCAGCTCCTTGGAAGGAAGAAATAGCATCAGAATTTGAGGCCATCCCAGGAAAAAAAATGTTACGAAGACTTAAAAGCCAAGCCAGGCATATTGACACACATGTAATCCAGCTACACAGGAGATACAGGCAGGAGAATTATAGTTTGAGGCCCACCTGGGCAAAAAGCATGAGACATAGAAACACAGCTAAAGATAAAAGGGCTGGAGGTAGGGGTGGAGCTCAAGTGGTAGACAACTTGCTTGGCAAGCATGAGGTCCTGAGTTCAAAAGTTCAGTACAGTTATCCCTAGAATCTGAACTTAGTTTTACTTCAAATGATATTTTAATCATGGTTCAACCAGAGAAATAGAACCAGTATATATATATATATATATATACACACACACACATATACATATATATATACACACGTATATATCTATATGAAAACATACATATGAAAAATCTCCTTGAAACCCACTATCAACTCTAATTACAAAATGCTTCTTCATCAAGTCCTGTTAGTGTTTAATTGTGTACTTGACACTTCTAGCCCAGCTAAGATGACTCATAAAACTGACTACCATAGATAAAAAGTAGAAAGAAATCTTTACACATGGCTGGTTGGTGGTGCTTGAGGATTAAGAGTAGGGATAAGGAAGTGATTTGATAGCAAGGCCTCTTTTCATTGAAGTGTACTGTAAGCTAAACACGTTGAAGAATTTCTCTGAGCAACTAAATGCAGTTGATGTGACAGAATTATGACCTGTAATTTCTAAGAAGCTAGGATACATTTCTCTGACAAGAGGCCATTACTTGTAGATATGTGTTTAAGAGCACTATCTTTATTCATCTAAAGGCATAGGTAAACTGCTATAGGGAAAGTCAAATCACCTTTTTCTTTTGAAACCCCAACCTTGCAACTGATAATCCAGGTTGCCTACCTAATTCATTCATTGCCTGCCTGTCACAGAAAATGGTTTGCTCCATTAATATAGTACTTCTGTTTTTCAGTTATGAATAATGTTTCATGGCTTAAAGTAGCTGTTGAAATTTCTCTTATTACTGATCTAGGTATTATCACCATAGGAGTTAAAGCCTCAAGACAATTTTATGGGTGTAATTTCTTGGCAAAGTTAGATTTTGTGCTGAAACCCTGCTGGGTACTACCCACATTGATAGATGACCCACTGTTTAATAGGACATTTTACTGTTCATGATTTGAGGAATGGGTGTGCTAATTAGAGACTTAAAAGAAAATTCTGCTTCGTGTTGTAGGTTTTTGCAAGTGGAGCTTTTCCTCATTTTGTCATTTTCTGTGGCCTTTTAAAAGTGTATTTGCCAAATAACTGGAAATGTGAATGTAAAAATTTTGTGGTGTCCAGCAAAAATATTTCCAAGAAGATTGAACTAAATATTTAAGAATAACAAAACAGATAAGGAGATTGTTTTCAATGGCTTGGTTGTGTGTATGTGTGTGTGTGTGTATGTGTGCAAAATCTCAAATGAGTAGTCTACTAAGGTTGTGTCCCAGGATCACGTGTGCATGAAAATGTTTTTTCTGTGGTCTGCACAAGTATATATTGCACAAGTGACGCTATATACTGCACAGGTGATATACTGCACAGATGATGCTATATATTATAAGTGCATTTTTTCCTCTGTATGCATCTTGTACTCGATGGTTAACCCTGTCACCAACATTCCATGTTGCCGCACACCTGGATACTTGAAATATTTGGTAACCTGCCTACAGCTTAAAGCTATTCAAAGGTTCAGTGGGAAGCTACAGCAGATGAAGACGAGGTCATAGACGTGTACTTAGTGCCTTCCAGAAGCATATGTTGAAGCTGAGCCTGCAAGTCTAATGGAGGAAATAATTACTGCCATGAATGAGTACATAAGAGCTGAATTTATCATACCCCACTTTGCCATCCACTCGGTCAGTCTATCTGAATCTCTAATACTCTCCTATCCTTGGATGGGGACTGCCAGAAGGGACTAAGAGCCAAACAGGGAAGACATCTTAGCTGTTCTTTGGGTGTGTAGGTAGAAACCTGGGAGATGGATATTGTCTGAGGGCCACCTAGATAAGAGGCATGAGATAAACAGAATTAGAGGTGGGGATGGAGGGAAGGGCGAGGGAAAGGAAGGAGGCAGGGATAGATAATACTCATGTTTCTGCAATGACCTTATGGTGGCTGCATATCATTGTATTTTTTACAAAGAAATAAAGGTTCCAAGAGTATGATTATTGTTCAGATTCTTAAGGTAGAGATAGAATTTAAACCACGATCATCTGAATCCAAGTCCAGCATTCAATCCAATGGATCTATTAGAGAACCTTTTATTTTTTTTTTAACTAAGAGGACATTGGAACCTTTGTCAGTTTCCTTTTTGCAAAGATAGAATCATATCCTGTAACCCAGGATAGCCTGGAAATCCCAGTCCTCTGGAATTACAGGCCTGTGCCACCAACACTTGGCTCCCACTGAGGATCTTGAGCAGAGGGTAATATAGTGAGTGTAGAAGAGAGAAGGAAGAGCGGCGAGTCAGATAAGAGTCAGGAGACCTGTGCAATCCACCTTAGACTACTGTATTTGCTTTGTAGACATCTTGTGGTTATCAGCTCCAGCAGAATGCTAAGGTTATTTTATTCTTTTAAAATATATCCATTTTAAGTCATATTATTAAGAAGCATTAAGCCTACTTATATACTACATGATGAGCTAACTGTCTTTTTGATTATACAGACCATGGGTAGAATTGTTTCTGCAAGTATTATTCATGGGGGTTTTGTTTCTGTACTTTTAGTCATTGTAGTTGCAGTTGCTCAGTTTTGCTAGGTAAAAAAAATAGGCATAAAAACGTGACGCATGGGACCTATGTTTCTTTGGGCCTGGCTTACTTCACTTAATATAATTTTTTCCAAGTCTTTCCATGTCCTAACAAATGGGGTGATGTCATTCTTTCTGATGGAGGCATAGAATTCCATTGTGTCTATATACCACATTTTCTTGATCCATTCATCTACTGAGGGCCATCTGGATTGGTTCCATATCTTAGCTATGGTAAATAATGCTGCAATAAACATAGTTGTGCTGGTAAATGCCCAAATGTGGTATTGCTGGGTCATAGGAGAGCTCTATTGTATAGTCTTTTGAGGAACCTCCATACTGCTTTGCAGAGAGGTTGAACAAATTTACACTCCCTCCAACAATGCAGTAGGGTTCCCTTCTGTCCACATCCCCTCCAGCATCTGTTGATATTAGAGTTCTTGTTTATACCATTCTAACTAGGATAGTATATATCTGGAACAAGTAGAACAGGTCAAAAGCTATGTATGTATGACCAGATAAGATGAAGTTAAGTGAAATGAACCTCAAGATAGGGACACAAGTGTTTTTTTCTTGCTTGCTGTTGTTTCTAACATATTTATAAGGTACCATGTGATTTTTTTTTTGTTGTTTTGTATGTTCCTCCCCATGGAGTAACCTCTGTTTTCACTGTATTTGATGTCAGTATAATTTGGGGAGGGGAAGGGAAAAAACCAAATGTTTAAATAGGGATACAGGTTGACCCGTTGTAACAATGAGATGTACAAGACACTATGTTGAAAAATGAACTTTACAATTTAGGCAGGGAGGCGGGTAGAGGGGAATGTAGTCGTGGAGGTGGGAGGGCAGGGATGGTAGGGGAAAAACAAAGGAGGAGGCAACCATGCTGGATAAGAAATGTATTCATTGCCTTGTTCATGTAACTGTAACCCCTCGATCCAGTATTTTCACAATAAAAAACTTATTTAAAAAATAAAAACAACAGAGAAAAAAATGTAACGTATTTGCAATGGTTTTCTTGTTGCCAATTTAGACTTGGATGGTGCCAACCAACTGAGTTATTCTGAGATAACATCTTATGAAGATCACCCCATCTCTACTCCCTCGCAGTCCCCATGCAAGAGCGGGGAGATTAGAGCCCATGGATCCTCTCACCAAGATACTAGTGTGGCTCGAAACCTCCATCGACAGTCTACCAATGGCAGCTTGGAGGTGGAAACCACCTTTAACAACCGGGGCTTCGAGGATTCCTACGCCACAGACAGCTCCTCTGTGTGGAGTCCAGAGGCAAGATTCTGTTTTCTTTGCTTTAATAGTGTGTACCCATCTCGTCTCCTTCCCTTCCATCTATCCCCACCAAGAAAGCATCTTTTACTTGAACTTTTACTTTTACTACCCATCTTTTACTTGAACTAAATTTTTGTTGGTATGATCAAAGCTCTTATGCTTATAAGGGGGGTGGGCAGGGAATGCTAAGAAAAGAAATGAAGAATGATGACAGAATGGACCCTTCCAGGCTTATTTTTATATAAAAGACCTTTTGGTTCTTTCATAAGGCTGGTATGTTTCCTTCATGGGAAGTGGAGGTCATTGTCTGTTTTATTTACTCCAGTTTTTTTTTTTTTCTGTGCTGATACTGGTGCTTGAACTCAGAGCCTAGGCACTGTTCCTTAGCATTTTTTGCTCATGGCTGGTGCTCTACTAATTGAGCCACAGCTCCATTTCCAGCTTTTTAGTGGTTAATTGGAGATATGAGTCACATGGACTTTTCTTTCTGGGCTGGTTTCAAACCTTTTGAGTAGCTAAGATTACAAGTGTGAGCCACCAGTACCCAGATTTACCCCACATCTTGAGTTGTGATTGAAAGAAAAATCATTTGAGAGTTTAACTAAAAGGCAATGGCCTACTAAAGAAAGTCTACATGTATTATAATAAGGATTTTGCATTTTTTATGTATTTGTTAGCTATGAATCAAATTGAAGGTTTAACTGATGGCATTAATCTGTAATGACCTCCTGGCCATTGATGATGCTTTTTGTAATATATCAACAAGATTCTCTTCTCACTAAAGCTGGTCTATATTATGTCTGACTTTCCAAAGATAAGAGTGTAGGTGATAATGGCAGTAGAGACTCCAGGGACCATGATAAGGATTGATTGTATCAACATGTTGATTATTCTTCATTGGATCCATTCTTCCTATAATGATCCCAAGACATTCCAAGTGCTGAATTCTGGTGCTTAATGACTAATCTGAAATTCTGTTTGATGAAATAAGTCATATAAGTATACAAAACTTTGAAGTGATATCAATTGTGGAGATAGAGGTGAATAGACTTGATTAGCACAAGCCTAAGAGAGCAAGTGGGCTGAAACTCTTCAGAGGACCAGAGTGGTCATACAGACACATGAAATACTCAGGGAAATATAACAAAACGGCAAGAAATCATGTTCCAGGGCTTTAGGATATTCTGGCAGGGCATGGGGAAGGGCATGGGCTAGTGTGTGTGCTTCTGTGTGCTGTTTCTGTTGAGAGCCAGAACTAGGGTGTGGATCTATGGGTTGTAGCTTGTTAAAAGCTGTCTTTCCTCTACAGGCTCCCAAAGACATCAATCTTATCACCTTTGTTAAAAAGAAAGAGAGGGCTGGGCTCATGTCTGTAATCCTAGTTATTCAGGGAGGCTGAGATCTTAGGATCATGGGGATGAAAATCAGCCAGAGAAGGTGAGTTTACAAGTCTTAATCTCCTAGTGGTAGAGCTCTAAGCCTTGGAGCCAAACAAGCCAAGAGTGTAAGGCCCTGAGTTCCAGTCCCAATTCTGCTATAAAAAAAATAAATAAGGGGCTGGGAAGGTGGCTTAGTGGTAGAGTGCTTGCCTTGCATGCATGAGGCCCTGGGTTCAAAAAGAAAAAAGCTGGAAGTGTTACTATGGCTCAAGTGGTAGAGCGCTAACCTTGAGCTGAAGAGCTGAGGGACAGTGCCCAGAGTTCAGGCCCCATGACCGCACCCAAAAAATAAAAATAAAAAAAAAGTAAAAAAAAAATGAAAGAGAGAGAGAGAGACAGAGAGAGAGAGTGAGAGAGAGAGAGAGTTTCTTCATTGCTTTATTGTTAAGAGTTGTGTCAGGCCCCATGTCATATTTAAAAATACTCTTTTGGGCTCCCCTACCACAAAAACAAAGCAGAGCTGTCCACTTGCCTACCGATACTGTAGCTCCTTGGTAATTGTGCCATTAGGCTTAGAAAGGCCTCTCCACCTCATTCTCCTTCCCTCCACCCCCTGCCAGTTTACCTGCCTCCAAGTGCTTTAATAGAAGATTGTGTTCAGGGGACTAAATGTTCTCAGACTCCAAAAATACCCAGACATCTCTGTGTGCTCCATTCAACCTCCTATCTATTTTGAGACAAAACTGTAATTTGGTGCTTCTACAGTAGAACTTCAAATCCAAATTGGAGGCAGTTCCCGTAACTGCCTGCTCTGCAGGCTTAGCTTGCCTTTTAAGCATTGATTTATTTGCCTCTTGGCTGTGTTAAGAACCTTGTCTTCCTCCGTGTATCTGGTATCTGGAACAGATTGTGGGTCTGTTTACTTTAGGCCACATGGTGACATCAACACTATCTTACTAAAACAGAAAGGCTTTTCAGTTTGATAGAAAATCTTTAAACCTACATGGATTTTGACAATTTGATGCAAGTAGTTCTACCTTCAAGGGAAAAGAAAATAAAACAACCCAGGATATTAGTGCTCACAGAATCATTTATTTTTTCTCTGAAGAAAACCCGGTATGGGGTATGACTCCCTGCTATGCTGATGGATTTTCCAGGGCTGTTTTCTCTGCTGGCAAAGGCCACATACCTCTTCCTGCAGACCTAGGGCTTGGCAGGGAAGACAATGGGAGGGTGTCTGGCGATTCCCAGCGCACACGGAGACAGGTGTCCCACTTTTCATCTCTACTTTCCACTGATTAATTGGTTGGCCTTGAGAAGTTAATTAAAATCTGCCAAATGGGGATAAGAATGAAGAGATTTTTACCTTGCAGGAAGGTCAAACGGATTAGAGGTATTAACAGTACCCACATGAGGGTACTCCTTTAGTTACCTGCTGATAGGCAATGTGTGTTGAAATAATTAATTGCTCTGAAAATAAATTCAGCCCAGGAAAGGGCTGCAAAACCCCACTTTTCTTGGGCCACAACTTGGACTGGCTCATTCCAGAAGCTGCCTTATAGCCTGGAACTGTGGTTTATTCAGAGTTCTTAGGACAGAACTCTGCCCAGGATTCTCCAGACACCAGCAGATAGAGTGAGCACATTTATCTGAAGATAGCCTAGTAGACATATGGTGAGATCCTTGCTAATTAGGACATTTTTAACCTTGGCATTGAAGTTGGTGAAAACAACAACAACTAGGAACTCTTACCCAGTATTAAGAGCAGAAATCTAAAAGACTATGAAATCGATAGTGGTGTAGTTTCTACGTTCCATCATCATTCCTCTTCTTTCTTCTTCATCTAATAGTCCCGATATACATATAAGTACCTATGGTGAAAGATTTGGGGAGAAGAAGGAAGACCTTATGGCTCCCCATAAGGTCTGGGATTTTGAGGATTCTGCATTTCATTCAGACTGTCAGAATATGACACTTGAAGACTCCGGGTTAGGCACGAATCATTGGCTTACAAGGAGAGAGGATGTTCATTATTTAGCTTTTCTTAGGTTTACTTTCCTTTTGCATGAAATGAATTAAAGTCTCTTCATTATGTTGATGTAAGTATTTTGGAAGATGATATTGCTTGGCTGGTGGAATGGTTCAAGTGGTAGAATACCTCCCTAGCAAGGACTTAGCCCTGATTTGAAACCCTAGTTCTGCCAAAAAAAAATGTGAGGGGGGAGGGAAAAAATGATGGTGCTTCTTAGCTGGGTTACCCAATAAGGCAGAGCCCAAGGAAAGTCCTTTGTTACCTACTCTATGGAAGAGTGTAATCTCAGAGAACAAGAGTGCAGAAGGAGGGGGAGAGAGGAAGGATGTTCCACTTGAAGCATCTACCATGGAGATGACCATCACTCCACACGAGAACTTGCTTGTGTCCCACATGCAAAAATGTTATGTAATCCCATTTCTTCACATCTTCCCAATGGGAGAAAAGTTTATGGCACTCTCTGAATTTTATATACACGGTGGTAAGCAGGGTTCTATGGCTTTCTGAGTCCTGTAATCAACAGGCCATGATGCCAGTTGGCAATTATATTTTTATGAGCAGGAAGTAAGAAGTTATTGGGTTGTGTCAGGCTGTAGCTACTTAGAACAGACAAGCTGTGCCTATAAGAGAAGATGGAACCAGACATGAGGCCAAGACGATATGGTATGTGTAATAGCTGGTTTTTGTAGACTCGAATGGATGTAACATGGTACCTGACCTAAAGAACAGCTTCATAGATATCTGTTATTATTATTCATATGTAGGCAAGCAATAGGCTGAAAGAGATGTGAATTTTAAAAAGAGATAAAGGAGTTGGAGAGAAGATTCTGACTTGAGTTTTGAGTTGGTCTAACTCCTTAGAGACTTGCTTCTAATATTATATCTACACTAGTCAGTTGTATTCAGAAGTTGTCATAGCAACCACTTTTATCACTTGAATCTAAGAACCTCTGAATAGCAATGCTCATACATGATTGCATGCTCAGAGGAAAGGATAGAAGGAGCTTTCTTATTTTACAAGAAATCTGAATTTTTCTTGGCAGGCTAATTTGAATCTTAAAAGGGAAGGGCATTTATTAGGTGTCTAGTGTATGTCAAATCTTTTACTTTTCACATCATTTCTGTGGAGTAGGTATCATTGCCACTTTACTACTGAGAAAAACAGAATGTGGAAAGGATTAGATAATTTGTCCAATGTCATAGAACTAGAAAATGGTAGACCTGGGTTTCTTAAGCATGTTTGCTTCCATTTGATTGCATGTTTCCCCTTGGTCTTGGTGAGATGGTTGCACTGGCCAACAAAGTACATCTTGAGGCAATTTATTATAATTTGTGAAGTGATCTCTGAATTAACAAAGTCCTGTGCTCAATTATGCAAATAAGAACTAATGAAAAGAGTGAGTCTGAGACCTGTCAGTTACAGGCAGGAATCTCGCCTTGATTTGTAAATTTTTGATGGGGTGGTTTACTATAGTAAATGCAGTTCATCTCAATTTCCCCAGTGAGGGCATTTCTTGGAGAATACAAGTGAAGTCCATGGTCAATATAAAGGGAGGGGAGCGTGTTTGGAAGTGGCCTCAGGCCACTGGTGGAAATAATGTGCAGTCTGAAGCAGTTACTTTCACACCTATTACAACATCACAGCATCACTCCGTCAGGCAGATATGTATTAATGTGAACATTGCAGCTAGATGATATAGAAGCTGGGTTTTGGCCAGGGCTCCAAAAGCTAGCTGGTGGTATGGTTAAGATTTCAGTCTAGCTATTCTCTTTCTAGTGTGGCCATCCTTAATCCTTGCTTTTCAAAAATGTGACCCAAGGCCAACATTCCTTGAAAGCATCTTAGAAATATAGAATCCAGGACCCTCCCAAGAGGTAGCAAATCATCATCCATGAATGATTCATTCAGGCCCACAGTGAAGTTTGGTAAGCTCAGCTCTTTTTCTCCCAGAAAGATTTGAAAATACACTGGAACATCACTTGTCCATGGTTTTCATTTTTGTGGAGGTTATGGTCTGCAGAGAACTGCCCCAGGCTTAACCATTTCTTCTAGGGACTCAAGGAAAAGTCACCTGGTGCTCAGTTGCATGGTTGACTTAATTTAGACCCAATATCTCAGTGTTAGTGGGCAGTTGTGCCTTTTGTGAGTTTGTATGTATGAAAACACTTTCCAAAATACAAGAGCTTTATTTATTCATTCCAAAACCCTTTCTGAAGTTCGCCATATGTCAGGTACTGTGCCCTCCAAGAATTCACAATCGGATGGAGAAAGATCCGTATGCAGACCTCCCTAATATAGAAGGTTATGTACTGGCAGTCAGTCAGAAAGCATGGGTTCTGAAGATGCACCAGTGGGCACCGACTTGCCAGAATGCAATTAGGTATCATCATTTCTATTCCTAATTGTTTTCTCTGCCTGCAACAGGAGCAGGATGGGTCCAGTCTGCAGGTGCCATCCAGGATCTTGGAGCCCATCTCGAAGTGCGGTGACCTCGATGTCATCTTTGAATATAGAGCTGTGACCCAGAAGCTCACAGTAACCATTGTGAGAGCACAGGGCCTCCCAGATAAGGACCGAAGTGGTGTCAACTCCTGGCAAGTTCATGTTGTGTTGCTGCCGAGTAAGAAACAGAGGGGCAGGACGAGCATACAGAGAGGACCCAACCCTGTCTTCAAGGAGAAGATCACCTTTGCCAAGCTGGAGCCCAGAGATGTGGCTGCCTGTGCTGTCCGCTTCCGCCTCTATGCTGCTCGGAAGATGACCCGAGAGAGAATGATGGGAGAGAAGCTGTTCTATCTCAGCCACTTGCACCAAGAAGGAGAAATGAAAGTGACTTTGGTTCTGGAGCCAAGAAGTAATCTAAGTGTGAGTATGTTAAAAGGTGCTGTTAATGATGAGGTATATTCGAAGACCTGGGGTTGTCAGCCCATGATTTAGTACGTTCAGCGCGTGGATCCAGACACCTTAATTTAATTTTCCATTTGGCTCTCCTCATTCTTATAAGCCATGATTTGTACTTCATGGTACAATGAGTCTTTCGTGCCTTTCTTCTTGATTGTTTGATAGATGTATTCCCTGTCTGTTGCCTTTTTTTAAAATGCAAGTACTGGGGATGGAACGTAAGGCTTGGGCATTGTCCCTTAGCTTTCTGCTCAAAGTGTACTACCACTAGAGCTGCTTCTGATTTTTTGTTCATTGGAGATAAGAATCTCATGCAATTACCTGCGTAGGCTGACACTGAACTGTGATCCTCAGATCTTAGCTTCCTGAACAGCTAGGATTACTCATTGTCCATTTTAGAAAATATGACAGCAGCAGTATGGTAGAAGACTTGGAGGAACCTGAGAGATGTTGTATTTTCCAGATAGTAGAAAAGTAGTCCTACCTCTCCCATCCCCAACACCATGATAGTGACTCTCAGAGACAGGCACAGCCCCTACCAAATGAGCAAGAGCAGCCTACAACAGCAGCACTGAACTCCATCCACTTCTGAGACCTTCCATTATTAGGGTCAGACTCTACCTATGTACTTCGTTCTTCTACTTGCCCCAGATATTGATTGATTGACTTGTAATTATGTACTTATTTTTATTTATTTATGTGTACTTGTTCTGGGCTTGAACTCAGGGCCTGAGCACTTTGTGCTCAAGGTGAGTACCCTACCACTTGAGCCACAGCTCTGTTTCCAGCTTTTTTAATGGTTAATTGGAGATCAGAGTCTCTCAGACTTTCCTGCCTGAGCTGGCATTGATCTGTGATCCTCAGATCTCAGCCCCCTGAGTCGCTAGGATCACAGCTGTGAGCCCCCAGCACCCAGCTTTGCTCCTGTGTTTTAAGGAGAGGCACTAGAGCTATTTTGTCTACATGATGGGCAGCAGTCCCACTCTTGCCCTAGGCGTCACGTCATCTAGGGTGAAGATCACCTTTCATCAAACCACACGCAAAGATGAAGTTATTGCCAGTCAGTCTTCCATTCAAAAGTACCATAAAGGCCAAGTGGACATAGAAATAAATCGAGCAGCTAACCTCCAACATTCCTGGTGGAGATGGATGATAATGGGCAAACTGCAGTAGTTGAGGAAAGAGGATCTGAGGGGTTGCTGTTTGTGAAGAAGGGATGACAAGGTGGTACAACACAGAGATTAAGCAATGGAAGGGACAAGACTGGTATCATGGAGCAGCTGAGAAGTTGAGGAAGTGGCCCTGGTAGCCATTGGGTGGAGAGGGGCTTATGTTGTTTGAGGAAGGACAAAGGAAGCAGAAAGACACCCACTGAATTCTTAAAGATGCGTCTATCCCAGCTTCTATCTTCCACGACTTCTCTAGAGACAGGTTCATCCTTCTGGTGGCAAGGGCCAAACTTTTAGAATTCATCTGTGACTTCTCTGTTTTTCAGCTGATATCTTATTGGCTCAGTGTTCAAATACAACCAGCACCTGGTTCTTTACTGGATTACAGAAATCGCCTCCTGATGGTAGCCTGCCTGCTCTGCCTTTGCATCCAGGTCATGTCTCATCTACATTCAGATCCCTCTTTTTCTTAAGCTCTGGCAGAAGTATGTCTGAAATCATGGCAGATAGAAGCCATGGGAAATTTTAAAAAGTGCTACACTGTAAAACTTAGGACTAGGAACACCCACATTTCTTATCCCCAGATCCTGGGCATTGTGGAGGGGACACAGATGGAAGGGAATGAAGGGGCCAGTGTGATGAGACATTGAAGGTAGCATTTCTTCTATTCATCAGCTATTGTTGAGCACCATTATATGCCCAAAATGAGGCTATGCACTTAGGATTGGGAGGTTTATAAGCCACAGTGCCTATGCACCAGGGTACAAGAACTGGATACAGATTCAGAATTTAATGGGTTAGACAGGTGACAGGTGCCACCACAGAAGAGTCTATAGAAGTACAATGGTGGGGGTAACCCTCCCCTAGAAGGAAGAAAAGAGTTCATCTTCTAAACAGCAGAGCCTTGTCACACGTCAGTCCCACCTAGTCCCATAATTTAAAGATGTGTTCTAGTTTCTGGCCCTGAAGAGATGTCCATGATTTGATTAGAAAGACACTGCCTCTATCAATGTCCAGAATATCTGATGCCCTCCCTCCCCTTTTATGTGGTACTGCAGTTTGAATTCGGGGCCTCATGTTGGCTAAGCAGGCACTCTACTCCTTGAGCCACTCTGATGAACCCTTTTGGTGTTGTTTATTTTCAAGATAGGGTCTTGCTTTATGCCTGGACTGGCCTGGACTATGATTCTATTTGTGCTTCCCTTTGCCACTGGGATGATAGGTGTGTACTACCGTGCCCAGCAATCAGTTGAGAAGGAATTTCATGAATCTTTATGCCAGGCTCACCCTGCACCACCATCCCCTGATGCCTACCTCTCAAGTAGCGAGGATTTCTGACGGCAGCCGCTGCACCTGGTGGTGTCTTTTATAGCCTTTATTTGCTGGCTTCCTGATAAGACATTTTAGGAACTTTTTTCAGATAGTAAAAAGAAAGGTTTAAGCAAAGCCCATTGCACTTGCTCGTGGTGGGGGAGGTATGTTGGGGAGACTGGCTAGCTTACCTCACCTGGGCAATGTGCATAGCACCACTCAGTAAGAATCAGCACCCCCTTCTGGTTTGTTTTCCTGCCCCTGTTCCTGGTGCAAAAGGCAGTACTCAGTAGAAGCATACCCACGAATAAATATGACAGCAAGCATGAACTCTCTCCTGTATTCACCTGTTGCCTGCTGGGTCACTGAAATATACAGCTTTTTCTGTGTTGGCTCCTTTAGGAAAATGGTTGAGAAAGTGCTCATTTTTAATGCAATTGATTTCCTCAGGAGACAACATTTAGCATCTGGCATTTACCTAATAACCTTGAGAAGGAGAACTTGGGGCAAATGTTCTGTGCTGATCCATGTCTAGAGGTCATTCCTTTGATTGCTGAGACAAAATGCCTCCTGTTTTGCCACATTCATTAAAAGGGTGCAGAGAACCGAAACAAAACTCGAGCCTGGAGTGGATGGGCTCCATAGAAACACTCAGGCACAAATCACACAAGAGGGAATTTCAGAATGTATTAAATTTATTATGAGCTCTCCATGGATCTGAGGAGATTTGATTTACACTAGTAATCACATCTTTGTCTGATTGTCTTGAGAGAGAAAGTATTGAATGGAGACAGCTCTTGGAATAAATATGTCAGCTAATAATGCAGGGCTCTCACCCATGGCTGTATTCTGCAGTACATTGTCATTCACACCGAGTGCCCATTAGTAATCTTTGGCAGTCATCGAGATTGGGTCACAATTTCACCAAACATAATATCGGCTTTCTCTCTAAGAGAGGAATGTGGCATGGGCCAATGGATTCTTTGTGTTCTTCCCCTCCAGAGTGGAGAGTCTTCGCTCAGCCCATCTGCGGTTTCTCACAGTGATAGTGCTTCATCCACGCAGTCCCTGTCTCATGGAGGGGCGCCAGAGCTCTTGGTGGGGCTGTCTTACAATGCCACAACGGGCCGATTATCTGTGGAAATGATCAAAGGCAGCCATTTCCGAAACCTCGCTGTCAACCGAGCTCCTGGTAAGTGCATGTGTGTGTGCATGTCTGCTGGCCCAGCTCTAGTCCCTCCAGAGGCAAGTTGAAAGCCATGCCTGCTTTCATCTTAATTCTTTAATTTTTCTAGTAAAAATGGTCTTGGTATGGCTTAGGCACGTTTTCACAAAGCAATACCTCTGGGGTTCTTAATGGTTTTCTATTTAATTAGAAGGAAGGTTTCTCTGATAGCTAGCTGCATCTTGACATGAAATAGACTGGCCTGTGCATCTGTGTCATTTAAGAGGAAGTAGTGATGTCACTTCAGAAACACAGTATGTATGAACAATTAAAATCTGATCATTTGTTCTGGGCCCTCAATTTGACATTTGTCCTCCCTTGGAGGGAGGTAGATCTGGGATGGAATTTCCAGCTCTACTGTTGAGCCAGATCTTGGGGTTTAAGTAAAAGGACTTATGTAAAGGGTATAGCAGAGTACCTAGCACACAAGAAATATTTCATGGTTATGGTGGTGAAGGAACCAGATCTATGGCAACAAAGGAAAATTTTACCAGGTGAAATGGTGACCCTAGAAAGAAGAGCTCAAGATAGTCCCCATACTGTAAACCAGGGATCAGGAAAGCACCATCAGCTAACTGCTGATACCAACTGCCTCAACAAGCCTGTTAGCCTAGATAGTTGGAAACTGACCATTGAATGAAAACTAGCTCAACTTTTGCATATCATTAAAAAAATGCTTGAAACCAAAGGCAGAGAGAGAGTGTCTGTTTCTCTTCTGCCTTTTGGACTTCATGCAAATACTGCTAGTCCGAGGGACGTAATTTGTAGCTAGAATGCTAGCTGCAAGAGAGTCTGGCACATGTTAATTTCTAGCTTATGATGAATGTGAATGACGGGGAGTAGACTGGAAGAGGCAGAGGCCTGTGAACCATAGGCCCCAAAATCTTATTGTGAGAAGGATGGATACATGAATACAGTGTAGTATGATTGAAATAATCAATATCCCTGGCCTCATGTGGAAGAAGCCAGGAAGAGTCAGGTAAGTGAAAGAAAAGGGTCAGCTCCTACAACTGGACTTAAGGTCCTAATTGTTTTTGTCCTGCACTTTTCTGTAGACCATAGTGTCTGTTGGATGTCAATATTTTGTTAGGTAAACTATTAAAGCCATCAATGCAAGTTATTACCTTGGGTAATAGAATTGATTAGGTACTTAACCCATGTTCTGTGTCATTGCTCAAAGCCAGGTGAGAGCTATTTAGAAGGCAAAAATAAGTGAGCCTCTTGCTAAATGCAGCATTGTTTTTCACAATAGCCCCATATTTATTAAGATCTGGACTGACAACTTCCCCTTTAGAGCTTTTCCTAATCTCCTATGATTTGCCAAGGTCTGAATGATATTGTAGGAAAGTGGTAGAGATTCAGAGAATGATGAAGATCACACAGATAGGGCCTTTTCAAGTCCAAAGTGGGAGTCTGTCCTTTGTGTGCTGAGTGGTAGCAGCCAAAATAGGGAAGTACAACGGAGTGGTGAGAAACTGAGACTGTCAAACGGAGGTGTGAATTCAAGTTCTGCTGTTGATAAAGCTGTCAGTTTCTAAAACTCTCTTGATCTCAGTTTCTTTATCTGTGAAATGGATTTCATTTCAAACTATGTAGTTTGTGGACAGTGACAATACACATAAAAGCTATGATGTTGAGGTTGGTTCCATTGTGTGTTTCTAAAATTCTATCTAGAATAAAATATACCAAAGAGGAAATTCTTGGAATGAATATTTAAAACTTCAGAAGAAGAAAGCAAGTCCCAATTTGGAAATGGGTTTAATAGGTTTAAATGGCATCAGGTGGCATCAAGACTGGTCATCGACACAGTGTTGCAATTTGACCAAACCCTAACTGACATACTGTACTTTCTTCAACCAAAAGTTATTAGAAAACAATGCTGTTGTAAGGCTATTAATTAAACCACAAACCCAGCAGTCTCTGTGAAATGCTGGTACTTGAGGCCTAGATGTGTCTTATACAATTCAACACGTACTAAGAATCAAGCCATTGCATTCGTACCATGTACAAGAGCATTCATAGCAGCTTTGTTCACTGTAAAGGCAGATGTTCCAATCCATAGAACAGTAAATAAACATATAAAGGCATACTCTTAGTTAATAAAAAGAAGAAAAATTGAACTCAGGTTTTCAACTACATAATGTTTCAAACCTTACTGAGTGCCTATTATGTGATTGTGTTGATATGAAGTTCTACAACAAGCAGAACTAATTAGTATTGGGTTAAAAACAGAGGAGTGAGTGATCACCTCCAGAATGATGTGGTGCCATGACATACTGGACAGGATGTGACGGAATGTTCTTGGGTGAAGGAAATGGTCTATCTCTTGATTGGAGTGTGGGACAAAGGAAAGAATGTGTTTGTAACTACTTGTTGGATCTTACTAAGCTTTGTGCATTTCATCATATGTGAATTTAATCTTAAAAACTATAAAATATTGAACCATAGTTAATGAAATGCATGCCAAATGATATTTGGAAATGACTAGCAATGCTAATCATTTCTAAAATGGGTGGGTAGATGTTATGTATATGAGACAAAAAACAAAAGTAAAGCTTCAAGGTGATGGCTGAGTCTCCATTTATGTGTATTTGGGAACTGGTTATAAAATAAGGGGAAAAATAAGCTTGCCTGTTCTGGAGAAAATCAGCTGGGTTAAATGGATTTAGAAAAACAACCTAGGAGTCTTAGCTATAGAGAGGGGCCTCCACGGTTAGAAATACCCTTGTGTATATGTGTGTGCGTGCTAGTGTGTTCAAGGCTAGTACTCTACCACTTGAGATAGATCTCCACTTCTGGCTTTTTTGGTAGTTTACTGGAGATAAGAGTCTCACTTTCATGCCCAGGCTGGTTTCAAACCTGATCCTCAGAATTCAGCCTCTGAATAGCTAGGATTACAGGTGTGAGCCACCAGCACCTGGCTTAGAAACACACTTAAAGACAAATGTTAGGACATTTCAGGATTGGTATTATTCTTCTGGATTCATGTTGGGAAGGATAGTTGAGGATACCTTCCATAGTACTCCCTAATTCACATCCATCCATGAAAAATCTAAGGCATCTATTCCTTACCTAATATAGAGAAACAGATCTATGCATCTATGTATCTATGTACCTACCTACCTATGTACTTACCTACATCTCTCTCTCTCTCTCTCTCTCTCTATCTATCTATCTATCTATCTATCTATCTATCTATCTATCTATCTATCTATCTGTGTGTGTCAATCTATCTATTGTCGTGGTGAAAATGTCTATAAAGTGTTGTTTGGAATCACATAGGTGGGCTATTTGAAAATTATTAAAACTAGCTCATAAAGCCTATTCATAAACAATAGTTAAATGAGGCAGCAGTACTAGCTGATCTTAGCCCATACCAACTAACAAAGTGCCCTCATTCCTGTCCCTTTCAGGGTAATTTAGTTCATGCAGCTATGTTGTTGTCATTGTTATTAAGATGATAATAGACTGGTCTACAAATCTGTTGGGCAAGGATAGTCCTCAGGTTCTGTATATGGATGATTGCCTAGGAGAAAAAGTAGTTTATGGTGTCTGGTAGCCATCTGAAATGCTTTTGGAAATGTTATCAATAAGTATTAGATCCATTTAGCTGGGTATGGTGGCACAGACCTACAATCTCAGCACTCAGACTGAGGCAAGTGGATCATGAGTTCAAGGACTGGCTAGACAACCTAGCCAGTTCAGGCTAGCTTAAACTACATAGTGAGACTCTGGTCTAGGAAAAGCAAAACAAAACAAAAAAGAGTTAGAAGCATCTGATTATCTTTCGACTTTGTGCTGATGAAAAAGCAATTCAGTTATGATGTAACAGCTCAAGTCTCAGCCACGCTCTTGGCCTCGGCATTTGATTTAAGCTCTCTGAATTTCATTCCTTTATTAAATGAAGTCAACAAGGGAAAGGTAGATACACATGCTTTGTTAAAACAAAAAGTCAGCTTCTACGGGCACATTCCCCTCTCCATCTTCATCTTCGCCATGCCTCGTGCTACAATGTGTTGCTGCATTGTGTACACGTGTGTATATATACACACATATAATGGTCCTTGTCAAAAGCTATCATTAAGATGTCCCCTCCAGTTAGAAATAGCACAGCTCCCAGCTTCTCAGCATGTGCACGATTAGCCACACGTGATAATTACAGCCCAAATGATAATACTTAACAGCAGCAGCCTATTAACCTTGTTAGGCACTCACAATAGCAGAGACGAGAGGAAAGAAAAACAAAAAAGCAAAGCAAGCTGCCTCATGTTTCCTGTGAAGAACAAGCAGGGTGCTAAGAGTACCCTACAAATGGAGTGCAGGGGAAAAGTGGGGGAGGGGGCGAGAGCCAGTGGAAATGAACACATATGGCACATAGGACCTGCTTTAAAAACCTGGGTCCAATGTTCAGTCAATTAATGACAGTTTACTAGTACCCACCATCCATTCAAAATTCAGACCAGTTTGTCCGAAGATGTAGATGTGGCACTAACTTATCAAGGGATAAGTGATAAGATATGGCCATTTCTTTATCTGCATCAACTGATTTAATTCTCCCAAGGATCAAATTAGGCAGAAAATCTTAAGAACAATAGAATCTAAGATAGTTACTATGGCATATGAATTGTTTCTGGTATGTTTGAACACTCAGTGACCTACAGTGGAAGTAGAACAGACTCCCAAGGGTAATGGCCAAACCTAGAGGAAAATGGGACAACACCAACAGCAACAACAATAATAACAACATCTTAAGAGATGAATATTCAACTTAGCAGCTCCTTCTTCTCTGAGTGAATGAAAGATAAAGTTACTTTCTACACAGCTTGAAAGGGCACATCATTGAATGAAGTACTAAATAATGTAGAAAGAAAGAAATTGGAATTAGAAGGAAGTAATGGGATACAAGAAGAAATAATGAACAAAGAAATTGGCAGACATGTATATAAACTTAAGCCTCCATGGATTGC